GGGAAAGCCAGAACTAGCATCATCCTGGCCTGGCTCAGGAACTGCATCCCTGTCCACAGGGATATCCAGCTCTTTCTAACACACATAATGCACTCCAATCCAACCACTGCTCCTCTGCATGTCTCTATCAGACTAAAGACTGAGCGGTTCATAAACCCAAGATGGGCAAGAAAAGGGGAAAAACTGCTTGTTAGAGGATCAACACTACCTGAAGTCACATTGGTAGTAGCTGAATAATCAAGCTAGCATTCCTGTCTGGAATAGCTATGGAAGCCACAATGACCAGAATACTTGGCCAGTACACTGGAAACCTGAGGTTTCATGTTTGTGGGTCTCACCAAGGATGATAAACACAAGGAAAACAATCTCTATGAAATATAGCTCTAATCTGGATGATGCTTAATAAAACAGTACATTAAACTTACAGTTCATGTTCAAGATTACTGTTCTGCAGGTTTCAGTAATATTATACTGTACAATTTCATAATCTGAAGCTACAGAAACATTATATAACTTCTTAAATGATTTACTGTCTTCAGCACTAACTACTTTAACTCAAGTCTCTTAATTTACTTCTATTGTAAAGGAGCTGTTTAAATTTGACACAGGTTTAAATTTTTTTTTGCTGTTGCTCAGTATAACCCACAAGGATGCATTTGGTAACATCCAGAGGCTTTCTGAATAAAATCAAGTCACATTTTATATAATATCATACAACTGGTAAGTCTTAAACCTTCCCACTAATCCTTTTTTTTTTCCATAGACTGACTGGATAAGTAGTCTTTAAGCTTTTTCATACTGAAAAAAAAACCCAGGTCTTTTGGTGTCAGAGCTTCCAGGATTAAACATTCTTTCCAGTTGTTGGCTCATGGCCTGAAGATCCTGCACTTTCAAACTTATCCCATTCTGGCTAGTTCAAAGATCAGGAAAATGAAGCCATCTTCTTTGCAGCCATAATCCACGCCCCATGCTGTTCGATACTTAAGAACATCTCAAAAGCAAACTACCTTGTTTCAGCTCCCAGCAGGAGCTCAGCAGGGCACTGGATCACATGACTGCAAACCCAGCCTAGTCAGGTGACTCAAGAGCTAATCTGATTTGGTGACTATAAAACTTTAATCAGTACAGTCTAATACCGTCACATTCCAGAAGTGATGAGAGGAGCAGCTTGGCGAGGTAACAGCAAACACTAATAAGATTATGAATCAGAACTGCCACAGGATCTGGTTTTTTACTTCTCTATCCCATACACAAACCCACCAGAAAAATATTACTGAGAACTGGTCAGGCAGACAGGTTTTGAAATAAAACGGGCTGATGTGATTTATTCCAAAACCAGCAGCATTTTGTTCATTGCCACAGAAGGACAAGAGCACACACTGAATCTTGTAAGGCACAACTAAAATCTAGCAAAACCATCCCTCTGAAATCAAAGACAATAAAATACATACATCAGTAACACCAGCTTGTTGGGAAACACACAGCACTGGTGGCAATAACTGGAGGTCCCACGAGTTTCCAAGGGCAACCCACGTGGGCTGCATGTGGTGAACAGAGCGAGGCCATGACAGGAGTGTTCCCTCCTACCAACCAAAAATATCTAAAGCGACTTCAAGTGCTGCTGTTTTGGGGACTTTCACCAACTCTGTAGGCTACAGCTTTTGAAGGGAAACGTCAAACATACCTGCAGATCAAATTCCAAGCATACCCTTTTCCCAAATGTTCGGATTGCTCTCTCACTTACCATTGTATTCCCTCTGTTTTTTTTCACCCAAAATCCTCTTAATCCATTTTAGAGTCTGCACTTTGCATAGGCAAGCAGCTGAATTGGATCAGCAAGTTTACAAGAACATGAAAACAGAGCTTGACTTTTTCATAGCCCAGTCAGGATTTGCAGCTAAAACTGACACAAAGGTGTTGTACACGACATGTGAGCTGCGAGAATTTGATTTTTCCACAGTTTAAGACATCCCAATATAGACTGAAATGTTTAAACCTCTCTGACAAGGAATAACTTGCTAAGACATTTCCTGATCATTTGAAACAGCCTCCATGTTCCTTAGTTTCTCTGCATTTCCATTCCATCCCTAGGGCAGGAATAGTAGGACTTCTTTACCCACTAATGTGCATTTCAGGATAAGGGAGCTTTTTATATAGTAATGTCCTGTGGTTTTGCTTTCTATCAGACAGCAGATCCTAAAGAGATCTTCTGCAATGGCTGGAAACTCACCTTTTGGAAACTGGACATGTGAATATAAGCAAACTTTTAGTATCATTGAGAGAGAGTGAAAAAGCTATTACTGTTCCTGAAAATGAAACACCATTGACTTAAAAATACTTAAATTAACTCCATAACATTAGTTTCTTCTCTATTTGTCTGAAATGAAATACAGGTAAAGTCAGATGTGGTAAGCAGTATTTTTATAAGCAAGTATTCAGTTGTAAAGCTTTATTGTATTAAACTGTTAAAATTAAAAAAAAAAATTTGAAAATATTCGAAAAGTAGCTTATTTCCACCTGCTTCCTAAATCAGTAGGACTTAAACTGTATCCATCATGTTAAAGCAGAGGAAAAATGAATATCACAAACAGAACTACTGCCACATTTTAAACATTCAGCTCTGATACTGAAAAAACTGCTTCTACTTAGGCATTATTTTTGTAATATGTGAAACAGTCTCTGCTGCTACAAGTTACATTGTAAGAGACAGCTTCTCTGTATTTTAGAAGGACGTCAAGTGACAAAATTTGTAACAAAAAATACCACTTTGCTGGAAAATACATGAAATTCTGAAATAGCTCCAAGGTTCACAGTCAGCAAGAGCTGGAAGGTCCAAACCCACTGTGTGTCTACGCCCTTTTCCATAAAGCATCAACCCAGCAGGATGACATAAAATTAAACTCTAAGAAGGCCAATCGACAGTTCCAAGTCAGATTAGTGACCTGAATCAGCTCAAGAAACAACCTGACAAGCACCAGGGTTTGCTGGAGTGAAAACAGAGGAGGAAAAGGAGGTGAGACTTCCTCTTTTTGCAACATTGACCCACTGCATCAGCCCCTGAATGACTGAGATTTCCAGGAAACCTCCACTTTCTTCAAGAAATACTAAAACTGGTAGAAGCAGTTCCCATTTGCAAAATACTTTCATTATGTGAGCTCCAATATGAAAGAGAAATGAAAAAAAGAAAAAAAAGAGAGACAATTATTTTGCTTCCAGCTTTAATTGCCCTGCAGGAAAGCGAGGTAAAAAAAAAAAAAAGGAAAAAAAAATTTAAAAACTGCATGTCAGCCAAGCAGCAATGAGAAATGGAAGAACCAAAGAGAGGGCTCAGCCCCGGGTGTATGGTTACACCTATCCTGTAAAGTTAATACAACTTAGAGCAGTGTATTTTATTTAAAGAACAAGTAAGGAAATACTTTGTGTCGCTGAAGTAACAAAAGGAAATTGTACTGCTTGGAATGGGGAAAAAAGCCATCCCTGAGACAGAGTGTACGTGGTCAGTCATTTGATTCCCTGTCTGACAGGTACCAGTGACTTAGCAAAGACATCCCCATGGGGCTACAAGCTTCTGTAACAAAGTTCTCCCATAGATGTACTGCAGTTTTTAAGTGTTACACACATCTCCAAGCACTCACACCTGAAATATTTAGGTACCTGGACTCCAAAATGACAGTACAGTAAGAAATGGAAGAGTTACTGTGATGTTTTAGAAGTGGAGAACTCTCTGTAAGTTTAAGCCTCCTCACTCAATTAACACAGAATTTACACCCCAGGATCCCACTAAAGGACTCTTGGACCCTTTTAAAAGAACTGTGAATTATGCTTTAGGCCTTTATTTTGCTAGGCTTTCCTATTCCAGATATCCACAACCCATTAGTCAGATATTCCAGAAGTGAAATTTAAGAGGTATATTTATTTCTTGCCACGTTTTCAAACGCGCCCTTTGATTTTCTCCCCTAAGGGCAGATACTTCTTACACTGAACAATAAACTATTACAGACATTAAGACAAAACGTTAAGACAACCTCTTGATACTCATGGCAAGAAATCTTACACTGCTTAACATGCAAAGAAGCTTGGCCAGCAGCACGAGGAATGCCACTTCACTAGGAAAACATAATACTAAAGCTTCCTGCTCCTAAATTTGAATAGGATATAAAGGAAAGACTCTGAGGTTCAGGACTGCCCACCTATTTGTTGCCCTTTCAAGCTGCTAATATTTAACATGAGGATTTCTTTTTTTTCCTTATTAATATAAACAGAAAGTTTCAAGAACCACAGGTGTTCAAAAACGTGGCTTATAATGGCGGCAAAAACTGTTCATTGAAATTAAAGTGTGAGGGTGAAAAGAATTATAACATCAGAACTTCGTTTTTATATTCTGCTGTGCGCAAATGTCTTCAAGCAGTTTGGGACGCATCTGAATCACCAACAGATGAAAAAGAAATATAAAATACTTGTGACAGTGGCTATCCTTTATACTGACAGGGATTTCTCTTAAATTCAGAGCACTACAACATAAAGCCTTCACTGACAAAGCAAAACACAAACTTTAATGTCTTTAACTTTTTCTACCACAGGGCCACCACACCGATGCGAGATCTCGCTCCCAAGTTCCGGTATTAAATCACACGTTTATTTACGTGTCCGCGGCTGTTTACGAACAGGACGGAGACTCCGAGCATACTCACATTTTACTCTACACGCAATAAGGCAAACACACGTTTTACAAGCAGTTTTTCCTCCCGGGCTCTTTCGAAGGGGCCGATGCCGACAGGGTATGAGCCCGTCCCCTCACACCCCTGCGCTCCCAGCCCTGCGGACACCCCCGGGAGAAGGGGGGAGCCCTTCGCAGCACCCGCACCGCATCCTCCAGCCGGTCCCAGCCCCGGGCAGCCCAAACCTCCCGCTCCTCCAGCCCCGGGCGGCCCAAACCTCCCGCTCCCCCAGCCCCGGGCGGCCCAAACCTCCCGCTCCTCCAGCCCCGACCCCGCTCTCACCTCCCCGCTCGCCGCCGGGCGCCTCAGCCCTTACCCGCCCCTCCTGTCCCCCACCTGCCAACACCGCGGCCTCCCATTGGGTGTCCGTTCCGGGAGCCGCGCTCCCATTGGCGCAGAGCGCAGGGCCGGGCCCTCCCGGCGTGCCCGGCCGCTGCCGCTGCCCGCACCCGACATGGCGGCGGCCGGCGGGGCGCGGGGCCGCACCAGCTTCCAGCGCCGGGCCGGGACCGGAGCCCGCCCGGCCGCTCTGCCGGGCACCCGGCCCGCGCTGCGACACGGGCAGCTGCTGCTCTCCAGCGGGCTGCCCTCCCTCGACTGTGTGCTAGGTTGGTGGGAGCGGGACCGGGACCCGGCGCTGCCCCCCTCCCTTCCTCCCCCGTGCCGGGCCCTGCCCGCCCTGCGCCCCCCGTGACCCCGCGGCGGCTCCCGCAAGGCTCCCGGGACTGGAGGGAGGGCGGGGGGAAGGAGGAAGGGGCAAGGCAGGGTCCGCTTCCCTGGCAGGAGGAGCAGGTTGCCGTGCCCTGCCATCGCCCCGGGCAGTCTCGGAGCGCAGCCCTGCCCTGTGGAGCCCCGGGGCACCGCGTCCCTGTCGCGTTCCGCGGGCTCTGTCACACAAGGGCGCCGAAGGGCTCGGGTTTGAAAGCCGCGTTCGCTGGATTAACGCGTGGTGTAGTTCTGGTTCTCCGGCGTGGCGCTGGTCGGGATGTGTCGGACGGGGTTTTCTATCCCAGCGGCGTCACTGAAATGCCCCGTTTATGCCCCGTTTCGAGGGGTTGCACCGGTGTGAGGCTGTGCTGTCTGTGCCTCTACCTTCGCCTGCTCGCAGTGTCAGGAGGGTCCCGTGGACTGATCTGTTGTGGCTAGTGCTGTGTTATCATCTGTGGCATGAACTGGCACCTCTATGGGATTGGGAACTAATTAATTTCACTGTTTTATCTGTATGCACTAAGGCTGTGTGATCCCTTTACTAACTGCTCACTAAATGCATCTTTAGTGTACATCAACGTACGTCAACTACTTTTAGCTAGTTTAGGTACTTCAGCTTTGTTCATTCATCCTTGGAGCACATGGAATATAGGAATATATAGCTTTTTTTTCCCTAAGGATATTCTGTATAAGTAATGATTAGTATAAAAGTTGTATCCATTTTATAAAGAACTTTTTGCAGCCTGTGTATCATTTGTTTGTTTGTGCATGTCTGCACTTTCATCAGGGATTAGCATCGTTGTGGAGAAGGCTCTTCCTCCTTTAAGAGAGCAGTATTTCATTGAGTGTAATTTGTGAAACCCTTTAATTGCATAAATAGAAGATTTGCTTTGAAAATTCCAGTTCTTCTTCATGTTGCCTTTTATAAACAGTGGATTTTTGCACAGCGTGGCTCAGAAGATGTGGACAGCTCCCATGCTGGCAGTGTCCTAAATTTCCAGGCACTTAGACACACAGTTAGTGGTTTGTCATGGAAGCTGAGGACACTTTCAATGAACCCAGGCTCCCTTCTGAAGTACGTTTTCCTTGTCTTTTAAATATTTAGTAATTCCTGACCTTGCTAATTTTTATAGTTAAATATTAAGGAAGTTTTTCAACCCTAGGAATAGCAACTTGTGAAAATATTTTTAAGATAGTTTTTGGGTTCTGGCATCTTTGAAAAGCTGTAAAACTCTATATTCCTATGTAAACCTTTGGTAAGCTCCTAGCCCTTGAATCACTGATTTCTGAGGGCTGAGTGGGTAGGCCAGGAAAGACTTGTGCCAAACATGGTGACTATAAAAAAGTTTCCATTGGTTTCCATTGTTGGAGACAGAGAGCATCTGTACAGAATCACTGATTTTGGAGACTGGGGAAGGACCTCAAGAATTCACCTTCTGTAGCCTTAAAGGAGGTTCAGCACCAAATTCCAAGTTATTTGCTCAGGGCTTTGTCCAGTTGAGTCTCGAAAATCTGCAATGGCAGAGATTTCACAGCAGCTCTGCACAACCCAGTCCAATACTTACTTATTTTTGTAGGGAGTTTTCTTCTTCCTCATATCCACTGGGAACTTCTCCTGCTTCGGTTTATGCCTGTTTTTTGTTGCCCTCCCTCAGTTAAGAGCTCAGCTGTCTGCTCAGTAGCTTCTCTTAGGTACCATCTCACAAGCTTCAGGTCTTCCTCTCAAGCCCAATTCCTTCAGCCCCTTCTCTTCAGTCATTTGCCCCACCTTGGTTCCCTTCCACTGGATTCATTTCAGTTTATCTTTGCTTCTCACTTCACTTCATCTTTACTTCTTTCTTGTACTTTATCTCTACTTCTCAATTCAGCTTATTTATACTTCTTTCTTGTACTGAGTGTCTCAAAACTGGACCTTGTATTCCAGATGTGATCTAATGAGTAAAGGGGATAATCACATCCTTTGACCAACTGACTGAGCACACTGTGCTGGTGGAAGTGTTGTGCTTGGTCTCCTTCCTGTCCTTTCTGTGTGGAAATAAATGTGTTGCAGAATGCTGTTTATGTGTTTCTTAAAGAGTGCTTATACTTCCTTCTTTTGTCTTGCTCACTAGCAGTTAAATAATTGCACAAAATATTTAATTTTTATTGTCACCAGAGACAGAGGACAATCCTTTTTTTTTTTTGGTACAAATTTCTAGTGGAAATTGCTATAAACTCTCTTAGTCTATGTTTCATAGACATATTTTTTAGCAGTCAGCAGGCAGTCTTCTAAATCTCTGGCTTTGGGCTTGAATTTAAGTTTGCTTGGTTCAGAATCTGTAACCCAGATACAGCATTATTTGCCAGACATGAAAATACAGCTTAGGAGTAAGTGTGAGTAAGGGAAAGCATGGTGTTATCAGACACAGGTGTAATGAGGAACTTCTGAAGAGAGGAATAGGCAGAGGATACAAGGAGGAATTTCTTTTACCCTACAGCTAGAGGCTGATTGTTACATTATTGTTGGCCACTCTTCTTAAGCAATGCATTTCCTTTGGAAAAAAAAAGTGTTGGATGAGTGCTGGGTTTCAAATGCCATCTTACCATTGGGGCACTGCATTTTCAGGCTTTATAGTCAAATTTACTTCCAAGGTTTTACTTTCAAGACCATATATGCCTGATTTGTGCCAAAGCAGTTCTCTGTAATGAGCTGCAGCTATTGTATAATATAATAATCACATGCCTTGTATGGAGTGTTTTGTTTCAAGCTGCTTGAAAAAAAGATCAGGGATATGCTTTGAAAACAATTGGGACATTTCTCAACTTGCAAAGTTTGTTGTGTTTCTGTCCATAAGATCCTAAATCTCTTTGCTGTAAGTGGCAATGTGGAAAGTTACAGGTCTTGCTTAGTTGTTTATGTGTGCTACTGCCTTAGATACTGGCGAAAAAAAAATAAAGTAGCAAAATTAGGAAGAATAACAAGTTCACAGCAGCTTTCTTGGGAAACTCAAAGATTTTACCTCTTCCTTTTTCACTCCGTCAGCATTCCTGCTATTTTTTCCTGTCACTTGTTTTTTACTTAATTTACTATTATTGTTACTAATTATAATATGAATATGTAACCATTGTAACTGCAATAGTTTTACATTCCATCTAATAGAAGACACTTGGGCAAACTCTTCACTGCACCAGATAATGTAAAGCCAGTCCTCTGACCTGAGCTGGCCTTCAGCAACCAGGGTGTGTGCACATATGTTACAGCTCTGGCTTGTAGAAAGAAACAGTACCATTGATGATCTGAAAATACAGCTTGTGAGAATTTTGACTGCACCGTCATAGTGTTTGACAAACAAATTCTCTCTTGTGCAAGCGATTTAAGAGCAGAAGAGACACTACTTCTGTTGTGGCTACAAGTGAACTGTTTATAGCTGAGGTTTTTATGTCCTTATCGCCGTGAGGTAATACATTACTGATGGCTGCTTTGATCATATTTTCTGTGTCAAGCTGTAAATATTTGAGGCATTGTACCTCTTGACTTGGGAGCATAGCTTGAAAAATCTGCAACAGTGAAATTAGTGTGTGACTAAACCCTGTCACTGCGATGTGCTGCTCAAATCGTGGCGCATCATGGCACGATGACAAAGTGATCCCGTTGTGGTTTTAATTCAGGTGTGATGTTATGCAACAATTTATTCAGCCTGTGGGAAAGAACTCTGCTTTTTCTCTTCCTTCTGGGTAATTCAACATTACAAGTGCTACAGATATTTGTAGTCCCACCAGCAGAGAGCTATAAAGATTAAGAAGGTGGTCCAACTCCCATTGGAATCAATTTTAAGTGAAGTTTAATGAACTCTTATAAATTTATAGAGTGAATGATCCTGTTCACTAGAGTCCATCTATGCACTAGAGTGCATCTGTGCAGGCCAGAATTAACTTCTGGAGCCAGTGTGATTCAGTTTGCTCTTAACTTTTAAATCAGTACGTAATTGCAGGTAACATACTGGAATTCCCTTCATGCAAAACACTTCAGTAGGCTGGTTACAGATGGCCATCTGAACACTTCCAGGAATTTTTAGCCTTCCTGTCACAGTCATATCATTGTTAAAGGAAATAGTCTGATGTCAGGTTTTTCCACTATTGTAATTCTTGGAATTCAGATTATAAGCCAGTTTACTCTTCACCTAAAATAAAATATGAATTCTTCTTTCACTGCCTTTGTAAAGGAATTTGTAGGATTGTTGTTATGTCCCAGACATGCCATGAAAGACTTTACTAGCATCTGTTTTTTCAGATGTGTGTTAGATGTGTCTGATCTGTCAGTCCAGGTTTCACTGGGTGAAATCCTGCCTGTCTCACCACCTCGTCTGCTTTCAGTAACAAGATAAAAAGCAGTGGAGCCTGGATTTTGCCTCAAAGCCTTGGGTGGGAATTTTCTAGCTTCTTAGTATGTCACTTTGCTTACAACCTTCTTGGTACAAAGGAATATCCCTTGATAGTGATTAATCTGACTTTAATTTGTAGCATGTTTACTCACTTGAGTCATCCAAGTGAAAATCTGCTGGCTCAGACCACACATCACTGCTGTGGTACTTGAGCGTAGTTCTGCAGAGCTCTGCAGGATCTTCTTACCACAATGATGATAGTACAGT